TCAAGCTACCTAATATATGTGTAATTGGAGTCCCTGAAAGGGAAGGGCAGCAGAAAAATATTTGAGAAATGGTGGCCAAATTTTTCCAAATTTGATGAAGAACTTTAAACCCACAGATCCAAGAAGCTCAGTAAAACCCAAAGTACAGGAAACATGTAGAAAATCACACCAAGGCACATCATAATCAAATGCTCAAAACCAGTAATAAAAATCTTAAAAGCATCAGGAAAGAAAGACACAAAGGAAGAAAAATAAGAATTACAGCAGATTTTATGTTGGAAACAACGCAGTGAATAGATGGTGGAGGAATATCTTTAAAGTACTGAAAGAAAAAGACACTGTCAACTTCTAAGTCTATGCCCGCCCCAAGTGAAATAGACATTTTCAGACACAAAAGCTGAGAGAATATGTCAGCAGCATTCTCTGTCTCATTTTCCTTCTGTCATTCAGGAAATACTAATATTAAGAAATACTATCAGCTGGAAATACTAACCTATAAAACAGACTGAAGAGTACTAAAAATTGTTACTGTGTAGGTAAATATATGAGTTTTTAATTTAACAATGTAGTGTGGAGTTTATGACAAATGTGACAGTAAGATGTATGACAACAATAACAGAGGCTTGAGAAGAAAAGTGGATGTAGATAAACACTATCCAAAACCTTATACAATACACAAAGTGGCATAATACCATTTGAAGGTAGACAGATATGTTAAAGAATTATACTGTAACCCTTAAACAATAAAAAAACAAACAACAAAGAGTCATAGTAAGCCAACAATGGAGAAAAAATGGAATCATAAAATGTTTTCACTGCTGTGCAGTGAATATATATACTGTAGGAATATACAACATTAATAATGTCTAGAGAACATTTTGGTTGAGTTTAATTTTTGCTGTTACACATTTCTAATTTGAGCATCTTTTACATGTCTATTCATGTGAATTATAGGAGTTTCACATATTTTTATGCCTAGAAATAGAATTGCTGAGTTGAACGTTGTAGGGTTAATGTCAAATTATTTTCCAAAGTGTTTGCATCAGTTTACATTTCAACCAGCAGAGTAGGCAATTTTTATTACTCCAAATTATCAAAAACACTTGATATTGTCCTCTTAATTTTGTCAATCTAGTAGGTGTGTAGTAGTATCTCATGATTATAACTTGCATTCCCTGACAACTAACAAGGTTAAACACCTTTTCATATGATTTTTTACTTTTGTATGTCATCTTTTAGGAAGTGTCTGTTTCTGTATTTTGCCTATTTGTCTTTTGGCATAAAGGGAATTCTAAAAAATGTTCACATAACATACAGGAAGGCTAGAAAATGAAATAGGAATGAAAAACAGGGAACAAATAGAAAGCAAATAATATAGCAGGCTTAAGCACAATATGTCAATAATATTAAATGTAAAAGGTCTAAATATACCAATTAAAAGAGCTTAGCAGAATGGATTTTTTTAAAAAAAATCCTAACTATATACTGTCTACAAGAAACTTCAAAAATTTTGTGTGAATATATATGTATGTGTACATGTGTGAAAATATATGTATGTGCTATGAATGTATGTTGAAAATAAAAGGAAGGAAAAAATATATTCCATAGAAACATCTTTTTAAAAAGGGATGAGTACCTTCATTAATATCAGGAAAACATAGATAATGAGAGCAAAGAAATCACCAGCAACAAAGAGAGACATTACATAATGATAAAAGGATTAATTCATCAGGAACACATGGCAGTTCTAAATATGCATGGACCAGATGAGAGCAGTTTAAATTACATGAAGAATGAAGGAAGAACTGAAAGAAGAAATAGGCAAATCCACAATTACAGCTGGGACTTCAGTTCCCTCTCGCAACAATTGATAGAACTACTAGATAGGAAATCAGCAGGGATAGAAGAGAACTTATCCCCATTAACCAAAAGGATCTATTCACATTTATAGAACCCTCCAACCAAGAAGAACAAAATACGAGCATCCATGGAACACTCACCAACGCAGACCATATCCTGGGCCATAACACAAACTGCAGCACTTTTTAAAGAATTGAAATCA